TCTTTCTTTCTTTCTTTATCTTTTTGTGGTGCAGATAAAACTCAGCCCCTCACATAAAGACAAGCACATGCTTACTACTGAACTACATCCCCAGATCTTATATGGGGGTGGTTCACTAAATTGATAAATCGCCCAGGCTGAGTTTAGAACTTCTGATCCTCCTCCCTCAGCCTTCTAGAGTTCAAGGATTATAGGAATGTTTTACCATACTCAGCTAATCTTCCATTTTGAAAATACCAAGGAGCGGGGGAGAAAGAGACAGAGACAAAGACAGAGACAGAGAGTGACAGAGAAAGCAACCCAGCCACAGAGGGTGAGAGGTCAGGTGCAGGTGGTAGGAGATGGGGCTGCAGGCCCCTGGAGAAAGGCAGACTTTCCCAGAGGCTCAGTGATCCTTGCTCTGGACCCCTTCAGATTTTGTCTCTTTTCCACTCAATAGCTCTTCTGCCCTTTGGTTTCCCATCCCTGCTCAATCCCCTTCTGGGTAGGTGCAGATTGGATAGGCTTTGGTTATCTAGGTCATGTGGTCAACCAGCGAGGGGATGAGTGCAGACCACAGACAGAAATTCACCTTCTTCCTAACCCACCTCTGTCTTCTAAGCAGCTGCCTACCTTGCTAGACCCTGACCCCTGCTCAAAGTTTTCAAAATGGGGCTCCTGTGCCCTCAGAGTTCTTAACCTTTTGGGTCTTGCCTCAGACCAAGTGCCCTATACATATGATTTGCTCAAAATAAATTCAGTTCCTCCTCAAATGAGGGCACCAAAACTCAGAAAGGCCCTGTAGCTGTCTACAGGCTCCATGGCTCTGTGGTCCTGCCTCTCTCAGTTCATCCTTATTTTTTTGTTTAGTTTTATTTTGGGTTTGTTGTTGTTCTTTTGGTACCGAGATCGGACTATGACCTCGTGCTTGCCAGGCAGGTGCTTATGCCACTGAGCTAAATCCCTAGATCCCTAGGCCCTTGTTTTTTGTTTTTTTTGAGACAGTGTCTCACTATGAAGTTCAGGCTGATCATGAACTCACTATGTAGCCCAGGCTGGCCTAAAACTCATGGTGATCCTTCTGCTTCTTCAGCATCCCAAGTGCTGGGATTATAGAAATATAACACCACGCCCAGCTTTTTTTTTTTTTTAAGGTATTGGGCATTGAACCCACCCTGAGCTACAGTCCTAGCCCTCTTTTGAGATAAGATCTTGCTAAATCACTAAACTGCCCAGGCTGGGCTTGAATTTGCCATCCTTCTGCCTCAATTGCGCAGAGTGCTGGGATTACTGGCATGCATTATCACACCCAGCCATTATCCTTCTTTTATTCACTAAAATTTCCTAAGGCCTCTAGGATTTATGGAGCAATGTTATGGAAAGAATGTAGTTCAATGTCAGATTTCACCGTCCCTCGTCCCCTGGAAGGATGACTCCTATAGGTTTTTGGTGCGCTCACTAGGGCGCTCTGAGGAATGAAAAGGGAATAAATGGGACAGGCAGAGCCTGCAGGGTCAAAAAGGTATTTCCTGCTTTCCCTGATAGGTCTAAGCAGGCAGGTGTGGCCAGGGCAGGCCTGCCCAGATTAGACAATGAAAACCAGACAAAACAAAAACCTAGGTAACATGCCAGGGGTGAATGAGGGAGGGCTCCAGAGGAAAATAAAACAGGGTAGAGGCTAGAATAAGGGATGGGGTGCCACTTTATAGATCTGACACTCTCAGCTGATAGAAGGTGGTGAGTGATTTGGGCAAAGTTCAGGGAAGATTGTAAAAGTAGATTTGAAAACTGGTTTGGATATAGCCAGTGGTAGAGCTTTGCTTCACATGTATAAAGCACTGTGTTCAATCCCAGCACCAAGGGAGAAAACAAAGGAATTGAACAACATGGAGAGCATTATCATTGTTGGATTCATTGTGTGGTTCTACTGGGATGAGAATCCTTAATTCTTTTTTTAAATTTTTATTACTACATGTTTGCAGTGCATGATGATTAATTCATCATGGGGAGGTAGTACAGATACACAACACATCTTCATTCTTTTTCTACCCCTATACGCTTTGAACCCAGGGGTAAGTTTAAGTGCTGTACCACTGAGCTACAACCCCAGCCTCCTTCCCCTTTTTCTTTGAGACAGGGTCTCACTTTGTAGTGCAGGCTGGCCTCGAACTCACTGTGTCACTATGTAACAGAGGCTGACCTGGAACTTATGATGATCCTCCTGGCTCAACCTCTTGAGTGCTGGGATCAGGGGTGTGCACCACCATGCCTGGCTCCTTGTTCTTAATTTTGAAAGTGTGAATTACAGTATCTATTCTCTTGCTAAACTGTCATTGCTCTTCTGGTATGTAGGAATTACACTTGTTCCTATCCCACAGTTAATGAACAACCCCCCAACCCCCAAGCTAGCACCTATAAGCCTCCAGGGGCCAGGCTGTCTTCTCTTGCAGAAGCTGTTGGTGAATGGGGGGTTCTTTATTCTCAGATATCATTCTGAGTTATGGACTCAACAGGAATTTGGTGATTTGAAAAACTGTGAACAAGAGATATTTGTACATTTATTTTCCTGGCAGCATTACCCATTAGAGCTAAAAAGTGGAAGCAATCCAAATGTCTACCAACAGGTGAATGGATAAACAGCAGAATACTATTATTCAGTTTTAAAAAGGAAATTCTGCCACCTGCTACAACATGAATAAAATGTATGCTCAATGAAATAAGCCAGTGATAAAAAAAAATGCCGTATGAGTTCACTGATATGAAATACAGAGTGGAATTCATAGACAGAAAGCACTGAGGCCCAGGCTATATAGTGTAGTGGTAAAGAATGTTCAGGGCTCTGTGTTCAGTTGAAAGCACCACAAAGGAAAAATAAAAGTAGGATGTCTCTTTGGTTCCTTGTGTCTGACAACCGTGTCAGCAGGAGGACACCGCCTTCTCCAATGTACTTAGAAATGACTAGAAATGCCTTGGGGCAGAATAATTAAAGCCCCCAAGGTAATTCCATGTCAAGTTGATGGCTGTCGAAGCTAGGGTAGAGGATAGGGCATTATTTAGTAGAAACACTTTCGATTTGCAAGATCAAATACAGGTCTGGAAATCTATGGCATACTGATGTGAACATACTTAACATTACTCAACTGTACACCTAAAAAGCGCTTTGGGGCTAAGGACATCGTAGCTCGTTGGTAGAGTGCATGCCTAGCATGTAGAGAGGCCCTCAGTTTCAGCTCCAGCATTGCAAAAACTGATAAAAAGAGTTTTTTTTTTAAAGTTGCAATTTTTTTTCAATGCTGCAGCCAGAATTCAGGGCTTCTGTGCATGTTAGACAGGGTCTCTACCACTGAGCTACATCCCTACCCTACAATGGTTAATTTTAGATTTTATTTTACAGGGGTTGTTTTTGTTTTGTTTTTGTTGCTGTACTGAAACAAAGTCTCACTATGTAGCCTACAATGGCCTTTAACTTACTATGTAGCCCAGGCTGTCCTCAAACTTGTGTAGAGTGCTAGGATTACAAGTGTGTTCCCCATATCTGGCTCTTCAGAGTTTTTTGTTTTTTTTTTTTTTTTTTTTTTTTTTTTTTTAGGAGAGCGATAGCAGGATTGAACCCATGACCTTTGAATTAATCTACATCCCCAGGCATTTTTTTTATTCTGAGGCTAATTCTCAACAAATTGCTAAATTGCCCCCACTGGGCTCCAATTTTTGATCTACTTCAGACTCCCAAAGTGCTGGATTACAGGCCAGCACCACCACACCCGGTACATATTTTACAATTTTAAAAAACAATTGTGAAAGGTATTGTTCTTAGTTGTGATCACTGGTCTAAAAGGAGAAGAGGTGGTAGCTGCCCTCAAGGGTTGAAGATGAAGTCCAGAAGCCTGAGCTGGTCTAAATTTCCTCCCCAGGCCAGAGCCTGTTTGAGCTGGATTTTGTGAGCATGAGAGGGGATAATAGTGGCCCTTGAGCCACTGGGACTAAGATGAATCCCCCACCACCACCACTATCACCCTGCTGAGGTCTGAGACCTTTAGTTCACAAATAGTCTTGTGTGCACATCATGGCTCCCCAGGAAGTTTGTGGGTTGAGGGTAAGGCAGCCCTAAGCATGCCAGGATGGGACAGCATTTGGGTTGACCCTTTCCTTTTCCCAGCTTTGGTCCCAGGGACAATAACCTTGTTACCCCAGTTTACCACCTGCCATGGAACCAGCTGGTAGCTCCAATATTTCTGCCCCAGGGATACTTCCTGCCATTTGTGGCCACACTGTAGAAGGCAGTCCTTCTGACAGTGTTCTTGGGCCTTGGGAACCAAAAAGGCATCAAATAGAAGTTGAGGATGAAGAGCACATTTCATTGCCACCTCTGGCAGGGAGAACCCTGAAGGATCATGAGAAAAGATGACTCCTCTAAAACCATGTGACTTTATATGTGTGGGAATCCTCTGAACCTCCGTAGGTTCTTCTGCTTTTGTTTTGGGTTTGGGGTGTAGGGTCTTACCATGTAATTCAGGCTGGTTTTGAACTCACTATGTTAGCCTACATTGGCCTCAAATTCACTGGAATCCTCTTGCCTCAGCCTCCCAAATGTTAGGAGTACAGATGTAAACTACCACACCCAGCCTGCTCACATAAAATAGAAAAATTAAGGAAATACCTTCCTAAGGAGATTCCTCACAAAACATCTTGGGAAAAGGGACAGCTACCAGTGTGGAATTTATAGCTGGAAGACTCCCCACCTACCTTCACAAAAAGCCTGCCAACAACGCAGCCTCAGTGGAGGGGCCCCTGTAAGGAAGATTTGACTGGGCAGAGACTTTGAGGTCTTGCTTCTCAGCTCTTGGCTGGACACTCTGTGGCTAGATCAGCAGTCCCAGAGCTGTGCCTGCCCTCAAGAGTAAGGCTAGACCTTCCCTTCCCATCAGGAAAACATTATTTCTTTTTTTTTTTTGTCTTTTTCCTTTTTATCGGTACCGGGGATCGAACTCACGACTGCCTGCTTTCAAGGCAGGTGCTTAAGCTGCTGAGCTATACCCCCAGCCCCTCAGGAAAACATTTTTTTTTTTTTTAAGGAAAACATTTCTATAACCTCTCAGGCTCCATTGGGCAGGAGGGGGAGGGAAGAAGAGGTGAACTCATATTTCCCTTAGCTGTACTTTGACTTCTAAAATATTTTTTATGAACATTTTAATGAAGGGTTGAACATAAAATAGAAAAATAGCATTCTGATTTTTTTGATTGTTTTTTTAAATGCAGACTTTTCTTGAAATTTTCATACAAGGCAATGCATAAAGAATGTTAACCTGTTCAAGAAAACACATATCCACCCCAGAAAAAGGCACTCCAAATAAGTATCATAGTTATCCATGACTCTGAAACTCTTAGACATTGGCCTGATTTGTTTTCTTTTGGAAACAATTCAACTCAGATTTAAATCCTGCTGCTCTCAGGGGATAGGAACACACCTGGCATGCCATCAGCTGAACACAGTGGTGCCTGAAGCAAATGTTGCTTAAGGAGGTGGCCAGGAGGGATGCTGTATGAGGGTGTACGTGCTTGCTTCTCCTTCTGAGGGTGTGGGCAGCCAGAGGCTACCACTCCTGCAGCAAGCCTTGCTCACTCTCTGTGGACAGATAAGTCATCCAGTAGGTGGGCTGGAATCAGGCCTCTATGGCCACCCGACTCACCATAATAGAATCCCTTATCATCCACAGGCCCATAGACTGTGACCATATCCCCAGCCCTCAGAGCTAGTTTGCCCTTTGCCCGGCCCCCTACTTTCCTATCCCTGGGATCATAGTCCAGAGCCACCATCATGGTCTTTGGGGTCCACAGTGTGGATTTCCTGGAGTTCTCTTGGGGCTTGAGGAAAGAACCATGGGGGCTGGTGGGCCCCTCAAAGTTCTCAAGGTGGGCTACAGAAGACAGGTGTCCTTGTGCTGGCAAATGCCACCTTCTTTCAGGTTGTTCTGTGCCCACCTCCACCTCAGCCACCAGGTGCCCAGGGATGTTACCCACTTGATTATTGCACTCGCCATGGTAGAAGCCATGGGGGTCCTGAGAGCCCCATACTCTCAGCAATTGCCCTTTCTGGAAGGCTAGCTCCTTCTCTGCAGCCTTGGGGTTGGCAGACATTGCTAGAGGATCATAATCAAAGAGGGCCACAAATGTCCTGGCTAGTGTGTTGGCCTCTGGCCCCAAATGTGAGGGGACACCACAAGACATTTCAATGACTTTACTGGATTGAGCTGGACATTGCGCTGTAGAGGGCTCACAGAGTTTCCACTCTTTCTTGTCCCTCAGAGCCTGCTGTCGCCTATTCTGGGGCCTGCACTTCTCTCTGTGTTCTAGCTTCTCTGTGCACCAATTATCCACATCTCTCCACATCTCCTCCAATATGTTACAGGACTCAGCTGCATACTTCTGGCTGGTGCTCTGCTGGGAAGGTGTCAACACTTGGGTACCTTGCTTTTGTCTAAGGACCTTCTCAAGGGCAGTCTTCTCCTGACACAGATCTTTCCTGGGCCCACACTTAGGGGACACATGGATGAATCCTGGAGATGAGCCTCTGCTGGTACTCATGTGCCCATAGTGGTTTTCTTTCATCACAGACTGGCCACTGGGATGAAGTGGCCTGTGGTTCTGAGGACTCTTCTGAAAGGATAGGTCATTTCTGCAGCCCTTCTGGATTCCTGTGAACCCTTGGGCTTGCTTGCCAACCTCTTCTGAGCTCAGGTTGGACGACAGGGACTGCTTCCTCAGTGGTTCTTCAGGCAGTACTTCTGGAAACTTGGTCTGAGGTTCCCCACAGCTTCCAGGAATGTGAGAGCCTGCCTTGGTACTCAAAGAAGCCAGCGCCATCTTCTGATGGCAGATGGGGAAGGTGACTTGGAAGGTAGATGGGTCACCACAGGTGTCATTAAAGGAAAGAGTCTCTGGTAATAAGTGATAAGTGAAGCAGTCCTCAGGGATCTGAGCTGGCACTGAATCCAGAGACTCACCACACAGTGACATGGTTCTCACTGAGACCTTCTGGCATGTGAGGGGTACCTGCAGCTGGGAAAATTCCAACAGAGTGCTCCCAGCAGTGGCATCAGGAATCTCTGCAATCTTGAGTCCATCTGCATACACAGCATAGCCAGTGACTTGCACTCCATTGGAGGACCCAGCTGAGTCAATAGTCACAGGAATCCAGCTGACCACTAGGAAGCCTGGTGAGGTGTGGTGCTCCACTAGTACATCCAGTGGAGGATCTGGGGGTCCTGCTAAGGGTGTGCTGAAGGTGATGGTAGAAGATTTCATTTCCCAGGGAATCTGCTGCAAGTCCCAAGGTAGCTCCACCTCCACTCGAGCCTTGTATTGTGTGCCAGGACGTAGGTCTTCAAAGGTATAGCAGCTCACACCTGAGGGGATCAGAGCATATTCCTGGTCATCAAGGTACACCACATGGAGGTGTTTGCTACTGCCATACACCCAGGTAATTTCAGCTGACGTGGCTGTGACATTCTGCAGTTGTAGTTGCATAGGCCACACACAGGGCAATCCTTTGGTCCTCGGAGAGGGTATGGAGAAGCTCTGCTCTTGCATACTCTGTGATGAGTCCAGCCAGCAGACTTTTCTCTTGATCTCTAAGATCTCAGTTGCCTTTTCTGTCTTGGAACCCTTCCCTCCCATCTGGCATGTTGCTCTATCCACTGATCCTTGGGTCTCCCTAAGTAATAAACTGGCTTCCTTTGAGGCTTTGGTCTGCCCAACAGGTAGTATTTTGGGGCCTAAGTGATTTGGGGACTCAGATGACTTGGGAGACAGGTTGCTTAGGTTGGGACTATCTGGAATCTGTTCTACCAAGTTGGAGGGCACCAGCCCTTGCCGGCCATCCTCAAGCTCCCCTTCATAGAAACCATCCTCATCCAAGTCCCCAAAGACATACACATATTCCCCAGCTGTGAGAGGTAGCTCATGCTCAGGATGCTCATTGGGTCCCTCAAATGGGTTGTAGTCATATTTAGCCTGGAAGATCTTGAGCTTAGAGGTGGAGGGTGCCTCAGGATCCCTTACTTCCAGTGGGGGAGACACACTGTCTTGCTCCAAATCATCCACCTCACTGGTTGTGTCCATTTCTAGAGTAAGGCACGATGGCACAGTGGCCCACACAGACTCCACTTCAGAGGAGGAGGTAGACTGGGAGCTAGCTTGATGCCTGGAGTCCAGAGGCTGGTTAGCAGGGATGCTCTCTGGCACAAAGTGTGAACTGGCTGGTTCCCCAAGGGAAACTGGAGTCTCCTGCATGGTAGGACAAACAGGAGGCTGTTCTTTGCTAGGTTGTGAGGTTGCATAATCTTTAGTCTGTGGTTTGAACTTGTGCTTTCCTCTACCTGTCGCTTGGGTGGCCTCCTGTGGCTGCTGGGGAGGATGGCCAGGCGGATCTTGCAATGCTTGCACCTCCTTTCGAGCAGCCTGGAGGTCGCTCAGGGCCTTCTCCAGGTCGTGCTGCAGCTGTTGCTGCCTATTCTGCTCGAGCGCCGCCTGTTGCAGCAGCTGCTCTGCCAGAAGGCCGGCGGCGTCGCGCTCCTGGCACGCGCGGCCCAGCTGCCCGCGCACGTCGCTGTTCTCTGCCACCACCCTTCGTACCCAGTGGGCCTGGGTCTGCAGCCGCGCGTTTTCCTCCGCCAGCCAGGCGCCCTTGCGAAGTGCTGCCTGCAGCTGTGCTTCTACCTCCTCGCTGCGCCGCTGTGCCGCTGCAGACTGCGCGCCCAACGCCTCACATTCGCGCCGCAGTGCATCCAGTTCAAACGCCAATGCCCGCACCTGGTGTCGAGACTCCTTGCTGGTTGCGCTCTGGTTGCTCGTTTCGGCCCTTGCGCAGCCCTTGCCTTGCTGCAGCGTTAACTGCCTCTGCAGGCGCAGAACTTCCTGCTGGGACTCACGCTGCAGCCGGTCCAAGTCACTGACGTTGAGCCACTGCGAGCGAGGGACTCCCCCTGCAGGATTCAAAGTGCTATCAAGGCCGGTGGCAACGCGCGCCTGCAGGAGGTGGCATTCCTGCCTCAGCTCTTCGATCTGCTTGTCCTTGGCTAGCAGCGCGCTGGCCTGATCCGACAGGTCTCTGGCACGCTGGCGGGCAAAGGCCTGGTACAACTGCAGGTCAGGACGGTTCTCCCCTAGCACAGGTGCGCTCAGCGCTCGAAGATTGGTCTCCTGAAGCTTGCGGGCACGGTCCTCTAGGCGCCGCGCGAGTCCTGCTAGCTCCGCGTGCTTCATTTTGAGCCGCTTCACCTTTTCGTCCTGACTGGGGCCACCACTGCGCCGCAGCTGCAGGTTCTCCTCGCGCAGTTCGGAGCAGCGATGTGTCAGCCTCTGCAATGCTTCACTCAGCTCCGAGTTACGCTTCACCAGTGCACAGTAGTCGGGGCCCGGCGGAGAGGGCATCAGACTTTCTGGGGGCTGATTTCCAGAACCTTCTTTGCCCAGATCTTTAGGTTTTCTGTGTGCCCTAGGCGGTGAGACGTTTGGGGAGCCTGCGACAAAGACTTTTGTCGAGGAGGTTGGCGCCTTTGACTCAATAAAGGCCCGCGGGCAACTCCGCATACTGTCGAGCGAGCGGGAATGCGCCGCGGTCAAGGAATCAAGGGAGCTGGCCCGCGCTGGGTGCTGGCGGTCGGGGGAGCCGGAGAGCGCCTCGGGCAACCTCTCCAAAGAGCGGGCGCGAACTCGGATCCTGGCTCCCAGCTCATCCCGGGAAGCCAGTCGAAAAGCGGGCTTTGGGGTGTGGCGAGCACTGCTGGCGGTTTCGGGAAGTGCGGCCCTCGAGGAATTCTCTGCCTGGGAGTCTGGGGACCCAGGTAAAGCCGGCTGCCAGCGGAAGTGCTCCAGGATGTACTTGAGGAACAGCTGGCGCTCCATATCAAGCGCCGCCTGCAGGTGGCGGATGCGCGCAGCTTGCTGGCCGTCGGTCTCCCAGCGGAGCTGCCGCAGCACTTCCTGCAAGCGACAGCGGCACTGCTCGGCAGGAATCTCGGGAGCCCCGGGGCGGCTGCAGTAGCCACGGTTCACCAGCTCCTGGGCCAGCTGGCGCTGCAGCTCACGGGCCTGGCGCACCACACCGTCGCGCTCGCGGCCTAGCAGCTGCTGTAGCTGCCGCAACTCTGCCTCTTTCCAGCGCAGCAGCTGCCGGATCTCGGCTTCGCGCTCCCGCTGCACCTCCGCCTGCAGCTGCCGCAGCTCCCGGAAGCGCTGTGCCTCCCATTTGGAGTGCAGGTGGTCCGCCAGCTGCTGCCGCTCTCGCTCGGCTGCCTCCCGCAGCCGGCGCGCCTGGGTCGTGAAGTGCTGCCGCTCTGCCCGCCCGCGCGCGCGCTCCTCCTCCAGCTCGGCCCGAAGCTTCTCCAGCTCCCGCCTCTGCTCCTCCAGCATTGCCGCTGCTTGACCGGGGCTGCCTGGCTTTTTGGGTGACGTGCGGCCGCCACCCAAGGGGGTGGGTGAGTCTTCTGTCATTGTGGCCACTGCTCAGCCAGACATTTGACCTCGCCTAGCAGGCCACAGCTCGCCAACTGCCGCCGATCCGGCCGAGGCCAACGGCCCCGCGCGCCCCTTCCGGCGCCCCTGGCAGTCTCCTCGCGCCCCTTCCGCCTCGGGGTATGTTCCCCCACTCTCTTGCCGCGGTTGCTTAGGCCTAGGCTGAGTTCCCCACATGCCTGCTCAAAACGGCCCCTGACCACTGATTCCCTGGGTGTTTTTATGTCCCCATACCTTTTCTGCTGCGTGGCTTTTTTTTTTTTTTTTTTTTAACCTAGGAACTCGCCTAGACACTGTCCAGTCCCTTCCAGGCCAAGTTGTCTCATGGGAAGCAAGGACGCTGCTTCTGGGCCTGAAAGGTGTGGGTCACTGTCACAAATGAGGTGTAGGTAGACCTGTCTTGGCCATGCCAGGGATTCAGGTAGTATGTCTGATCTAGGTAGCTGGGACCTACAGCAGTATATGCCTAGACTTGAAGTTGAGCACTGAGTCCCTAACTGAAGGCAGATGCCTCTGGTATCTACTCCTCTATCCTACTTTTCCAAGACTTGTTAAGTGCTAAGTACATACTTAGGTTATCTATTGAAACCTGTTAGCCAAGTGTAGTGGCATAGTCTGTGATCCCAGCACTTGGAAGGCTGAGGCAGGAGGATTGCCACAAATTAGAGGCCAGCATGGGCTACACGGTTCAAGGCCAGCCTGCACTACATAGCAAGATCCTGTTTCAAAAAGAAAAAAAAATTCTTATGCTCCTTTTATAGATGAACTGACTCAAGCCATATGCTTGGGCTTGGTGCCAGCTGAGAAGAGAAGGGCACACTGGGCAAGACCTCTACTACTGAGCTGTCTCCTCTGACCTGCATTTTCTTCTCTCCTCTATACTATCATCCAGCAGGGATGCTGGAAAAGATAAAGAACATCCTGAGAGTAGCTAAAGACAGAAATCTGCAAAATTCTACTTCCAGAATCCATAGATATCCCATTTCCAACTTACTCAAACTCAGATCACCTGTGTGGATCTGTCTGCAGCTCACATTTCAAAGCTACAGGCAGAGCCAGAGATTTAGCTCAGCAGCAAAACACCAGTCTGGGAAAGAAAAAAAAAAAAAAAAAAAAGAAAGAAAGAAAGAAGAAAAAAAAAAAACCTGTCTGGCAAGTACAAGGTCCTGAGTTCTATCCCCAGCACCGCCCTCCCCCCAAAAAAATTGTCTCAAAGCTCGAGGCAGAGAGTGGTCAGATAGAGGCACAGGCCCATTAGAGGCACCCAGGATGTGGGAGAATTGACTAGCCATCTTCAGCCACACCATGGGCACAGCCTGCTCTTTGGTCTAGTCCATGAGTGTTCAGGGCTGCTACTGCCCTAAAAGATAAAGCCAGAGGCCTCTGTAGGTGCCTCTATGCTATCTCCCTAGAGACAACAAGGCTAGAGAATGTTCCATAGCCTTCTAGGGCACACAGTAGTTGATGGTTCAAGCTGTTGGGCTATTGGATTCTAATAGACTTTCAGATTTTTTGTGGCGCTGCCATGCTCTCTATACTGTCACCTGTAAAATGGGTTTATAATGCAGCCCTCTTCTGTGCTATGTGAACCCCTAGAGTTCTCTGAGTACCCATGTCCTCTGTGTATGATTGTTCACTAAAGCAAGAGAACACAATGCTCAGAACAGAGCCGAGCAAAGTAACCTGGTGGTCAGCTCACTCATTTTTAATTTTAAAGATAATAAAGTACAATAAAGCAACACAGAACATAACCAATCAAGACAATGCAGGACAATTGGTACAGAACTTCAGAGCAGATATCAGGAAAACAATAATAGATGCCATTGTATATTTTGTTATCTTCACAGTAGTTGTCCATTCCATCAGGTATAGCAAAAATCAAACCAAAACCAAAACACAATAAAACCAATCAAAACAGAATATCCGAGCTGGGGTTTTAGCTCAGCGGCATAAGGGCCTGCTTTGCAAGCAAACAGTCGTGAGTTCGATCCCCAGTAAAAAAAAAAGGGGGCTGGGGATTTAGCTCAGTGGCATAAGGGCCTGCTTTGCAAGCAAACGGTCATGAGTTCGATCCCCAGTTAAAAAAAAAAAATTTAAAATTAAAAAAAGACAAAAAAAAAAACCACCCCAGAATATTGAATAAAGCAAAACAATTAATCAGAACAAAGCTAAACAGTGAAAACAGTGTTGGACTTCACAGATAAGACAAATACGGAGGAAATCTCCCATATTTGTTATATTGCATACTGTCATCTAGGCTTATGCTGTTTACCAGGAAGGCTGGATCGTTTTCTTGATTGGTCCTCCAAGTCGCAGGCATGGCAGATTCTCAGGAGGTTCTGGCTTTTATCTTCCTGGCACATGCACAGCTCAGCTTACTCATTTTAGTCTAAGTCCCTTGCTTGTTTTTATTCTTTGAGACAGGGTGTTATTATGTAGCTCAGGCTGGCCTTGAACTTGTGGAGATCCTCCTGCCTCAGTCTCCTGAGTGCTAGGATTATAGTCACACATCACCAATAAGTTTTTGTTTTGTTTTTTTTTTGTACTGGGGATCAAACTGTGCTTGCCAGGCAGGTGCTTATGCCACTGAGCTAAATCCCCAGCACCAATAAGCTTTTATGGTGAGAGAAACTGAGGTCCTTGAGACAGGGATTTTTGCTGAGGCTGGGTAGAGCTGCCATGGGAAGGTAGGACAGCCACTGTTCAGGCTCCCAGAGACTCACTCTGGATGCCTCATGGCAAGCAGGAAGCAATTACAGACCTGGGTTTCCATCCAGGCCCTGCTGTTTTTGGGCTGAGTGATCACAGCAGGTTGCTTCTACACAATGCATATGACCTAGGGATGGAAGGTCACAGTCCCAGGTGGTGGAAGCTCTGAGATCTGTGCAAAATCTCATCTGCCTACCCATGGTTTGCCTGGACTTTCACAACCCTCTTCTAGACCCCTGGCTCAAAGGTGTCTGGGTCATTGCATGTGTAGTTCTCCATGCTTGAGTTACCAACCTCACCCCACATGGACTCAGAATTTACTATGTGCTATATTCTCTGTGTATTATTGTTGTTGTTATTATTTGGTATTAGAGATTGAACCCAAAGCCTTTGAACAGTATGACATCCCTAGCCCATTTTTTTTTTTTTCACCACTATACCAATGAGGAACCCCTAGCCCATTTTAAAATGTTTTGTTTTGAAATAGGATCTCACTAAATCACCCAGGTTGGGTTTAAACCTGCTTTCTCTAGCCTTGGAATCCCAGAGTACTGGTATTAGAGGTGTGTACATTTGTCTGTTTGTTTTAACACAGGATTCCACTGTGTAGTTCCAGTTGGCGTTGAACTCACTATGTAGCTGAGGTTGGCCTCAGTCTTCCTGCCTCAGCCTCCTGAGTGCTGAGATTAAATGAACCAGTTTAAAAATGAGAAGTCTAGGGGCTGGAGATTTAGCTCAGTGGCATAAGCGCCTGCCTTGTAATCAGGCAGTTGTGAGTTTGATCCCCGGTACCGATAAAAAGGAAAAAGACAATAAATAAATAAATAAATAAATAAATAAATAAATAAAAATAAAAATGAGAAGTCTAAAGCCCCAATGAATCAGCTGTCTGTTCAAGTATATTTGGTTGAGTAGTGGGTTCTATTCAACCTATTTTGTTGTTGTTGTTATACTGCACACACATGTAATCCTAGGACTCAGAAGGCTGAGGCAGGAAGATTGCTATGAGTTCTAGGCTAACCTGGGCTATACAGGGAGTTCAAGGCCAGATTGGACTATGCAGCACGACTCTGTGTCAAACACTTTTTTAAAAAATAGAAGTGCTAATAATGTGGTGTAGTGCAAAGGCCTCGGATCAAATCCCTGGTACTATAAGATAACTAAATAAATAGCTAACTAACTAGGTGACTAACTAAATATTAAATATTAAATTAATAAAATGGAAGGGATGGATCACAAGGGTGATTTTCTTTTCTTTTCTTTTTTTTTTTTTTTTTTGAGACAGGATCTCCCTATGCAGTTCAGGCTGGCCTTGAGCTCACTTTGCAGCCCAGGCTGGTCTCGAACTCCTCGAACTCTCAATGATCCTCCCACCTCAGCCTCCAGAGCGCTGGATTATGGGCAGGCGTGAGCCACCACGCCCGGCTTACATGGGTGATTTTTTTTCCTTTTTTTTTTTTTTTTGAGACAAGGCCTCACTATGCAGTTCAGGCTGATCTTGAACTCACTAGGTAGCCTAGGCTGGCCTCAAGTCATGGCAATCCTCCTGCCTCAGCCTTGTGAGTACTGGGATTGCAGGCAAATACCGCCATGCCCAGCTCTATTTATTGATCGACTGTAATACTTAAGATTAAATTCAGAGCCTGTGTATTGAACATCCCTGGCTATTTATTTATTTATTTATTGGTACCAGGGATTGAACTCATGACTTAGTGCTTGCCAGGCAGGCGCTTATATTGCTGAGCTAAAACCCCAGGCCCCCTTTATTTATTTTTTGAGAGAGCAAGAGCGTCTTACAAAATTGCTCAGTTGGCCAGGCTGCCTTTGAACTAGTGACCCTCCTGCTTCAGCGTCCCAGAATGATGGAATTACAGATTTGCATCATCATGTCCAGTTTTAAAAATTAGTATTGTCATTTATAGTGCTGGGGATTGAACCCAGAACTTTCATTGATAGGCAAGCACTCTACCAGTGAGCTACATTCCCAATCCTTATTGATGGTTCTTAAATTTGATTCCTTTGGGCTCAAGGATTCTTTGGAAATACTATAGGTCTATAGGGAGGGAATATGTTGGCAACTGAAGAGAAGACATTGGCCCTGTTTGCCTCAGTGAGCAGATCCAATTGTTAGTGTCGTGCGTAAGGGTTCAAAGAGGACTTTGATTTAATAAAGGGTTATAGTATGGTGGGGAGAGAAAGATAGAGTGACCTATGCTATCTGAGCCTTTTTTTTTTTTTGGTACCAGGTTTGTATGACGTTAAACTTGTAACCTCATGCTTACCAGGCAGATGCTGTGCCACTGAACCATAGTCCCAGCCCTAGGTATGCTATCTGAAACAAGTCTGAAAACCCCTGACCAGAGGCCTCCTGTTTACTCTATGTGCACACACATACTTCACTCACCACTCCATGATTCTGC